TACTTGTATATTGTACATCTACTTAAAGGATTACAGCTGTCTGTGTTATAAAACATTTTTATGAAAATTAATGATCAATACAAATGCAAATCCATTTGGCTACAACTAATGAAATCTGGTTTCACGTATTACTTACACAGACTGGTATTTGCTGTATCACTGCCAAGAAAATTTTCGACTCTGCAGCTGTAGTTCATATCCTTAAGAACTTCAGGAATAAACAATGTGCTCTCATGACAAGCACTTTGCTGTGGATCACATGGAGTCCAGGTATAAGTTGGCTTGGGATTTCCTTCTGCTGGACAGTCAAGAGACACTTTTTGTTGTGCTGCAACTTCATGTTCTCTTTTGTGTCTACTAGTAACAATCTTTGCTGGATCTGTAGATTTTACGTAGGGGAAAAAAAGAAAAGTACACTGTATTTATGACTGTGTATTGCGTTTATGAGAGTTCCGATTGACACAAAATAGCCAAGGTACCTGCCAAGGTACCTTTGGGTTAAATTATGCGTCAATAAGGGAAAAAATGACTTTATGAGGAAATAATTTATTGTTTATTTATGTCTACATATATGTGGCATACAAAATGCACAGAACGGTGGACAGAACGGAAAGAACGGTGCTCACGAGATTCAAGATTCAAGATTCTATTTATTTGCCTTTCTACCTAATATATCAATCGTTTATGAATATTTCAATGTATGGCGAGGTGACCTCTAGAAGCCACCAGGCTTGTAGTTGAGGCCACCTCGTACATAGCAATATGGTTACATGAATAGTGTTACAGTGTCCGGTTTTGCCAGCTCAGTAATTATTTTACTAAAAACTCTAGCAGTTTTTTCTTAAAATTGGGAAAACTTGACTAAAAAAAGTGATTGTAACAGGAAAGGAATCCCAGATCTTGGGACCTTGGTAAAGAATTGTGAATTTTTTAGGATTACTCTGGCAATGATGCACGTGATAATTATTGGCTGTTCTGGTGCTATAGCCATGAATTTGACTGTTTGTAAAAAACAAGTTGAAAAACAATGGAGGCAACAACTTGTATAAAAATAGTAGTGCATGTAAATGTAGGTTTGATCTCTACCTTGTTATCAAACGTGGGATAATATTGGCAAGGGAAGAGCGAAAATTAAAGTTGGAAAATGTGTTAATACATTCTTATAAGACAGGCATCTTGACTTTTCAGAAACAAACAATATTTCATTCTTTGTGCACATGGTTGAAGCTTTGAGACTTTTAAAGTAGCTTGAGTGGCGGTGATGGGGGACTAAGAAAAAAAAAATAGTGTAAAGTGGATTTTCATTTACTCAAGAAAGAGTTCCCAGCCTTAGGAATAGGTTAGTATGGTTACATGTATATTCCCTTCAAAATGGTTTATTTGAAAACAGTGTATTAAGATATGGCTTGTATATTTCCCACTTAAATTGATGTAGCCAAAACGTTCCAATGTATGCTACATTGTTTTTGTATGTAAATCTAAGCTTGCATGTTTCCATGTTGTTCAAATAGCGACAATTAAAATTGCAAAAAAGAAGTGAACATGTGGCACATTTATATGAGTTTTCCAGTACTATACTAGCCATAAATGTAAGTTTAGTGCTCTTTTTCTGTAGTATCCAAATGAATGTAAAGTTTTGTGTCAAACTCATAGAAAATGTAGCTAAGAAAAATCTACCAACTCTGACAGTTCTTAGGTGTAGCATCGATATTTTCAATTATATCTCTGTCACCGAATTTTCAAAAACTAATTTACAATATTTTTTGGCTTCTTACAGGCAGCAACTGTCTAAAGCAAATGTGCCTGAGCTCATCATCAAGTCAGTCCAATGAAGGTACAAGTGTAGCAATTTCCTAGTAAGCATCGTA